ATATCTGCACTGTTGATAAATCTAATATTTATTGCCTCGTTGCTGAGAGCGGGAAACGACAGGAGTTAAGAATCGGGGTAATCACAGGTTGTCATACCTCGTCCTGTCTTTAGGTTATAAAAAAATGATAAATTTGTTTTGGAGGGAGGGGGAGGGAACCACTACAACTATGCATCAGAATAAGGTGTGGACCACTGCCCTTATTGGTTCTGATGTAGGCATGCAAAAATCTTTTCAGCAAGCTTTCTGCCCTTTTAACGGAAGATCAGAAATGTGCTCAATTAATCACATCAGCAATCATGGTGAAAATGAGCCCTTTGCGTCAGTTGATGTCAAGTTAAGGGGAATTCATGTTGTCTAGAAGAGTTTGTAGACTTGAGTCTCTGAACTGGAGAGAAGATTTGACAGTTTGTACTGTATTGGTTTTCTAAGATATAAAATGTAACTACTGCGTTTATTCGTTTGATATATATTGCTAAAAATCAGCCTTTATCATTCATTACACCAACCATTGTTTATAAAAATTATTACACTAAATATCTCTAAACTTCACTCTCCAAATTTAACAGTTATGTTTTTTTCTCAAACCTCTGAACTCATCTATCCGTCGTTATTTTCTGATAGTTTTAAAGACTCGTTATGTCATTTATATTCTTTGGCCTATAAACGTAACAGCCCATTTTCGACGACTACACTAAGAATTATGAGAGTTCGATAACAGCTGCCAGTTATCATAAACATTACTGAGCCGCAGTTAAATGAAATACGATAATATTAGTCAAAAAAGATGCTTATTTTCGATCCTTGTCCAATTTAAAGAATTATTAATCGAAAAGTTTTCGGCTACTTTAATGTTTTTCCTCTGTATTGAGTGTAAGAAATGAAAATTTAGTTTCAAAATTGGGTTAAGTCTCAAAAGTCAGAGTTGTTTTTGGCACTCGCCTCTTGGTTGAAACTGCAGTTAAAATATAGTTTTGTTATCCTTTTTAAAATGTCTATTTAAGCCTCAGAAGAAGAGACCTACACCAGGAGTTCGTTCACTCCTCCTCCTTTACCTCCTAGGCCATGCAGCTCTAGTTCAGACCTGCGGCATTCCGGTGAACTCCGTCTTTCGCAACCATCTTCATTTCAGAAAATGCACGCAACGTCCACGCCAAAGAAGGAAAAGGTTTGTAGATTAGTACTAATAAAACGTAAATATGAATTACTAATAAAACTTTTTCAGCCTTTGCCCCCATTGCCGACTCCGCCGTAGCATTTTGTTCATCGGTTATCACTTGTTGTTCAGCAGAAGGACCGGATTTTTAAATGCGTGCTTTATGAGTGCCTTTTTTAGGTTTTTGCATTTTCTGTTACATATTTATATTAAAACTTGCATGAT